AATCAAATACTAAATAATCATAAGACATTTTTAACATCATGTTAAATTTTTGCCATCTTTAATACCTAACGTTTTTTTCTAATGTTTTTAATGTCAGCTATAAAATACTATTTTGTTCCAGTTCAACAAATTAGGTACACGTTTTTAATAAATACAAACATTTTACATTTAGAAAATACAGATTTTGTTTATCCATTTTTGTTATAAACTTTTAAATAACGTATTAAATCAGTCGAGAGAGAAAGCGAGCCACACAGCGTTTTCCTCAATCGTTTTTGCCGATTTGTTAACTGCAGTTTCCCTTTTCCATTCCGACACATAACTACCCTATTGCGTGGCCTTTAAAGTAATCTGTGTATGTGTGTGTACATAAGAAACGGCCGTAATTTCTCTTTACGGATTTTTCGTATCCGGACAATCGGTTTTGTCCCGACCCTCGACTACTGTGTGTGATTAATGATTGAACTTAATTAAAAAACGCGTACACCTTGAGAAATTATCAAAGAAACAACACGTGGTACAGAAAAGGAATGGTATCAATTTTAAAAAGAAAAATCACCGCCAACAATATCTCCGCTTTATGAAATAGTTCCAACATATTCAGAACATTCATCGTTAAATTTAATAACGGGTACAACTTAATTAATAGGTATTAGATACAAATTACAATTACTTATATTATGATATATTTTTAAAATTATAAGACAGGCAAGTATATCGATTAAATAATAGTTAACATTATATTAAATATTTTAATTAGAGTTAGCCAGCGGACGTTGTGCAACAAGATTTCTAGCATAAAAATATGAACAATATAATAATAATGTTTATTAGCTCCGAAGTGGATACAAAGCAAAATCACCTGCAATAAAATCGAAAGAAGATGATATTTTAGAGGAAATGTCATATCGGTTATTAAAAAATGTCTTAGACAAAAAAGTTATAAAATATACCTCTTTCAAAATTGCATACAGGCCAAATAATGAATATAATTAAAATCGAATATGACATTCTTTCCTAAATGGCATTATCTTTCGACTTAACATAAGAGTTTTTGCTTTTAAATCATCATGAGCCAAATAAAACGCTACGTGTGTAGTTATATTATAGTAAAAAAATAATGAAATGCCGTTCAAAAATGTTACTGAACAATAACTAGCAATAAAGAATCCTAATTACTGTACAAATTAATTAGTTTACACAATAGCTTTTAATTTCAGTTTTATGGAATAATTGCTTATGTCGAACTCTTTAGTACCCCGTACACGGGAAAAACATATAGTTTAAATAAAAACACAATAACATTTTTATTACATTTTTTGTACATGATAAATTTATATTTACAAGTCAGTATCTACTATAAAAGAACATCAATTATATACATTTATATCTTCTAGGACAAATCCCTAACAGCACCACAATAACAGAAGTTCCCACAGATTCCCAAGAAGGGTAAATGGGATGGCACAGAAAAAACTTATGTTGGATGGTACAGACTTCTTAATCCCCAAATAGACGTTAGGAAGTAGTCCGGGCACGTGTAGTTCAAATGTTGAATAATATTTAAAATTATATATGTATTTGTTATAAACAAGGTGATCAACTTATCGTGAACCATTCAATATCTCACTGAGTTTAATAAGAAACTTAATTTTTTCTTTACATAGTAATTTTATGCACTGTGATCTCATTTTTTTTATTTTTACCCCCTCAACTTAGTTTTTTTGATACTAAATAGATATCTTCAGCTGGTTATCGACCAGTCAACATTTTTAGTACATTATTCTCAATTAAAAAAGTTAATGAAATGTATGCGTTACCATTTAAGTTTCTAAAGCTGCTATCAAAAAAACTAAGTTGGGAGGGGGGTAAAAACAAAAACAAATTGTGAGAAATTGAGATCACATTGCACAAAAACATTATGGAAAAACAAATTAATTAATTAAACCTAGTGAGATATTGAGTGGTTCGCGATAAGATGATCACCCTGTATATACATTTAAAGTAAATACTTATTAATTTAATGGAGCATCATTTTGTTTTTTACTCTAAAATGAGGTGTATTCCTCTATAAAAAAAGAATAAATATAATATAAATATATATATATATATATATATATTAATACATTTTATATATTTATAAATATTATACATAAAATGTATAAATAAATTAAAAAATATAATATTATATTGCTGTTTAAATATAGAGAATACTAAAACCATAATTATTATACTTTACAATAATTCTATATACCTCCGTACAAAATATAATATTTAACAATAATACTCATATAACCCAAATCCTAAGAAACCTCAAACCGAACCTTTTAGGCAGTGTATCGGTAGGTACGATTATCTAGATTAGGTATCTAGAAGTGCTATCAGGCGCGGATTCCAGGCTCGAGAGGAAATCATGGCCACGTAAATGATACATTTTGCATTTTGTTTATTGTTACAGTCTAATTTGGTAAATCCAACAATATTATAAAGTTATGTTGTGAACTACAACTAAACTTTTTAGTCAATCCAACCATAATATACAGTTGATCCAATTTTATATAATTAACTATTTCAGTTTAGTACTCCCAACTAAAAATATATTATGTCTCATATTAACCATAAATCATAGTTGGAATAACCATAATTATGGTTTTGCCAACTTAATATATAGTTTTATTTTGCTGTGACAACGTATACTTAATTTATATTTATATTATATTTTAATAAATAGGTATTATAAGAGAAGTAAAATAACTAATTTTATATTAGCTTATTTTATTTGTATTAGTCCTCGATTAAATCAATTATGCAAGTAGAAATACGTTAATTTAATTTATTTTATAAAAACTCAAATTTTAGAATTTACCGGATTAAGTTCATCCCCACTTATTTTGATCCACTTCGATCACTATTCATCGAAAAATAATACACCCATTAGGTACAAGCATTATACTATAAATAACTAAAAGTAACCAATGTGTACTACCATTTTGTATTGTCTGCACTCTGCAGAATGCCTATAAATTTAGAATCACGAGTATTCTTATAGAAAATAAAATTTAGTTGAACAGAAATTTAAGTGAATGAATTGAATATTTGTTTTGATTTTAAGGAATTATCTGGATTAGCATATTAACAGAATTTGTATTGATGTGCTACTTCACAGAAAGGCGTACATTATTATATATTATATTATATTATACATTCCGAAGTACTTGGAAAATAATACTTAATTGAACTAACTAAAATTATGGTTAATATAAGAACACAATAAATTTATAGTAAGAATAACTAAATAAATAGACCGACCAATTAAATACTTAGTTAAAGCGTATAAAAATTTTGTTGGTACAACAATGTATTTTTTTCCGTGCACGTGCCGTTCTATAATGTTAAGTACAGCCAACTGTAAATTGAAGAAAATATGGTTAAGGTCAAACTAAGAAGGAAAACTAGAAAGAAGGTAGTTATTAGATATCGTATTTAAAGTCTATATAGGTAGAAAAATCTAATCAAGTAAAACTAAATAAAATCCATTTGATAAGTAATCAGACCTTGGCATATGACCTTGGAAATTTATGGTTAGCAATAGTTATATATTCGGTAACCTTAGGTTTATTAATTGTTTATTATACTATTATTATTATTATTTATTACTTAAAATATATTATAATTAATTAATTATATAATTTGTTTAAAATATCAAAATATAATTTTAACTTAATTATAATAATAATAAAAATTGTATTTACGGAATTAATAAAATTTACATTAACTACATAAATAGTTAGAAAATTAATTATAGATAAAGTAATATATTAAAAAGTGTAGGAATTTGATTTTCTGTCTCGTATCTGCCGATTTCACTTTCTAAGAACACATATTTTGTATAAAAACGGTACAATACCGTCCTTTTTTTACACTTAACAGAATGCCGGATATACTGGTATGATATATTTCTAGTTATATTGAAATTCCCAGTTTCAATTAAAGTTGAGATTTGAGCAGTAGAAATTAAACTATTCACAATAATGATGACTTTAGTATGATGTATCGATTAAAAACTACATTGAAATATTCTATATAAATTGTATAATTTTTAAACATTTAATTCACAATATGGATTATTACAAGATGAATATTGGATTGTTAAGTATATACTTTAAAATTGAAATAGTACTTACACTGGCATTATACTCTAATGAAAATCAAAAAATACACGACACGTAGGTAAACTTTGTAAATTAAAAAGTTACTTACTTTAAATGTTAAGCATAACGCTTACACTACCTTTTCGCGATGATATTATGCTTGTTTTTTTATAACATTATACATAGATTGGATTGCCTGACAATTGAATTGAGGTTTTATTTCTTTATCCATTGTAAAAATCCACATTTTCTTTGACATTTACGAACATCTCGCTACCGGCAAAAGAGCGTTGTACAGTTAATTCGTGAGCCGCACCGTTGAGTAAAACAGTTCTATTCACTTGGCCCGTCCTCGAAATAACATTTGAAATTCTGTTGTGTGTATTCTGTAAAATGCGTTAATCGGGTTTTAGTTGTATAAATGTTGTTATGACCGTTTAATACCGTGCCATTTTTTCGTTTTTAATGAATAATTTGTGGCGTGTGACATATTATCGTATTGTAAATTCACATTTTGGGGAAACAAAACAATAACAATTAACAAGCGGTAGTTACAGATGATTACACGAAATCCATAGATAATAATTAATTATACTATAATATTATATTAATATTTATTAATTATATTCAAGGTGAATGTAATACACCCACCTTGATTATAATAATTTATAACACGTTAGATTATATAATCAATGTTATTCGTGAAAACATAACAAAATGTGTAGTTTATTAGGATATTGTGTTCCAAGAGAGACCATGGAGGAAAATAACCGACGGAAATGTTATAACACAGTAGGTATAATAGTTTCTACTTTTACACTCGTTTGGTTCATTTGCGGTACTTTAGATATCCCTGCATTTAGGTTTGTTGACCAACGCGGTTGTATTTTACTTTTACAACAACAACCGTGCGTAGTTTTACGGGCACGGTCATATTTAAATTTACATGATTATTATCAGTTTGTTTTTCGCGCGTTGTACATACAATTCTCTCTTAATCAGGAAAACTCATCAAAATGTTTACAAAATCGATGGCAATGATACAATATTAAAATACACAACGGCACCGGTGTTAATGCCAAAGTCCAAACAAATTATGCCTACACTTTACCGAAGCATAGCTTCTCTGAAAACGTGGTAAGTACATAACATTTTTAGAACATCAGTATCAGATAAATCTAAAATATATATTTAAATACTCGATGACCATCGAGTTAAAAACTAAAATGCAAAGTATAACTGTCAAAATATGTTTATTCTATTTCATTTAATATATTTTGGATATCATTGGTAAAGTGTACAACAATAGTGCACCCAAATTCGTGGTAACCGAGGATAGTTCGTACCTTTGACTATGCGGTACAACCAGATTGTTTACTAGGTATAAAATATAAATAATGGTTTATTTAGCTTTGAATACTCGGGAGTTCTGTGAATGAATGTTTTTTAACGGTTAGACTAATTAATAATATTAGGGTGCTCTAAAAAAAAAACAAATGATAACAATTTATTCCTTATACTCCACACCCCCCCCCCCCAAAGTTATTCTATATATACGAGTGTGTGTATATATGTATATTATGTTTTATAGTTAAAGCTCGTAATAGTTGTACAATATGGTATGTATAGAAATTAAATTTTCTAAAATTATTATTATATAATATGAGTAGTCACAAAAATTATTATTGTACAACGAAGATAATAATTATTGTTTATTCACTACTAATAATAATTGGGTTAGGAAGTCTGTGTTTGATCTTACTTAACTTAAACATGTCGCATCGATTTCAGTTTTAGTATTGGGAAAAGAAGTAAAAATATTACCCTGTATTAAGAAGAAATCATCAAGATAAAAAAAGTACTCACAATATATATGTGTAAACATCTTATTTCGGGTCCTACATAAAATAACATTTAAAAATAGAGCTGAACTTATCATATCCGAGAACTTTATTGAGAAACGATTAATACTTTAATATTATCGGTTTATGTTAACTATAATAAGATACATAAGCACGAGACTGTAAGTTGTCTAATTTCCGCTGGAATACTGCATCTATGACTTTGCCTGATTGTGTAGTACTCACTTGTCTATCTGAGTTTATCTGGTGGTTAAAAGTATATTTCAGAAATTTAATAAGACTCTCTCCTTCTGTGTATGACAGTAGTACAAAGTGGAGAAAATCTATTACTGATTGTACATGTTGGTTGAGCGAAATGTATACAACAATCATAAGTATTGTTTGACCATTTAGTATACTCATAGCTGATAGGCCTTATGGCGCTCTTCATATTTTTTTGTTGTTCTGAGTGTGTTAGGCATAACTTAATTAATGTTACAAAAGTTTTTTTTTTTTGGTTGAATCGGAAATCGGAACTCCAATTTATTTATTTTGCGTTACGACCTAAATAAATCTATTTTTGTCTATTCTTATTTATTTTTTTTTTTAATTTAAATATCAATTATATGTAGTTGTAAATTATTTAAATTTAATCACACAAAGAATTTATTAAAGAAAAGGGAGAAAAAAACAATTTAGTTAAATTGGATACAATTTTATTACTTAAGTACAATATATCAATTATAATCAACAAAAACAATTGTTTTTGGTTTTGTTACGGCATAAATGTTTTTTTTATAATTTTGTAATCTATTGATGTATTCACTGTTTATTAAAATTTAATTTATAATCTTTTATTAAATAATTACCTATTCATTTTATGTTACGATCTCTATAACGTATAATATATTATAAAATATTATATTAAGTATATTATATAATTCTAATTTTCTATTCTATTCTATTTATTTAATAAAATACTTACTTATATTACAATTTTTACATTGTAATAATAATAAAATTATTAAATAAAAAAACTTTACACTTAACCCTAGTCTCGTTAGGTGATGACAATATAAATAATAAAATTGTATTGACATAGATTTTAGCCCGTCTTATTACAAATACAGAGGTACCGCCAAAATTGGTTCAGCGTAATTTTCTAGTGTATTTTACATTGTCATTTCTTGACAACTTGTCACAAATTAATCACATCTGTCATATCAATATCTATGTTGTTTCCGTCAAGGTATTATACAGATTGTAAACTGTGGGTATTAGGGTAGTTAATAATGTGTTATCTTAAAAAAAAAATTTATTTCGGTTGAATAAATATTTTTGAAATTGCTGAAGCAGATTTTCAAGCGGACATGCTCATATTGGGGGGGGGGGCACGTGACTGGACGGGGACCCCCCCCGGGAATTTTTTCATTATGTTATTATTTTTAAAAAATAAGACGTCATGGCTTTATTCATTATTTTAGACTACTCCCAAAAAAAAAAGTTTACATACAACTGTCAAGTAGAAGAAATAGGAGGATAGATGTATTATAATTTATATTTAGATTAACAATAACTTAATGGAACATATTTTAATCTCCAGAACGTAAAAAATATTTTTACTATTTTAGTTTGTAAAGCCAAATTTGTTCTAGATTTTAATGTATTCAGCTGTATGTAATTGAAACTGCTTATATTATTGATTTATTGGCTAGCCTAAAACCCAAATGATCGCCCAATACATATTATTATTAGCTTTTTATATTTATATATATATATATATATATATATATATATATATATATATATATATATATAATATATACATTTTTACGTTTTTAAACAACTCTATTTATTAACATCTACCGTAGTGTAAATAGGGGCTAAGATTTTCTAAAATATAGTTATCTACTTAAATTGTATTATAGCGAATGTGAATAAGTTGAGTAAGATTTTCAGTGAAATAATTATGAGCTATTAAATTAGTGCCTACTACTAAAATTGTATATTAAAAAATTATGGGTGATCTATCTATGAGTATGTATATGATTTATGAATACTATGCTATTTTATACTATCAGAAAACTTGGGAATCGCAAACGTTTTGTTAACTTTAAACATGCAATTTCATAAATAATCATTTACATATTGTTGTTTTTAAAATGTATCGATATTGTATTTTTTGAGTATTTGTAATATCCGTTTAGTTATCATTCAATAACTAAACTTATAGTACGTTCAGTCACTTCAGTGTCTTGGTTAAATTGTATTTTTAAAATACAACTATAAGGCGTGTAGGATGCTGAACATGTTCAATTGACTCAACGCTTTTAAATACACTCGATTGTTGCGTCAATGTTAATTTAAAATTAAACATTTTCTTGTATGTGTTTTAAGATGGTCCGAATATAGTTCAGTAATGCCAATTTTAAATTGGCATTATAAACAAACCGTTATTTGTATTAAACAAAAACATTAACCCGTTCTTGGTTATTTTTTTTTTACCATACTGCGAAGTAGATAATCTACGATTATGTTTTACCTTTATTTTACTCTTTCTAAATTCTATATATAATATATTATATTGTATAGCTCATATTGTTAAGCCAGAACATAAAATAAAAACGGCGTGTTAAAAATATCAAACATATGTCTTAGAAAGTGCAACCATACTGTTATGTCAAGTGCGTTTTACTTGTATATAGTAGAAAACGACAAAAATAATTTAAGAACTCCCTAAGTTTTAGATTTTTTTCCAATATATACAGGGTATGGTTAAAAACGAAGATAAATTTTTAAGTTCTAATTTGATTGTTGTTGCGTGACAGTAGCATTGTGCAATTACGTGATTTTCGTTTAAAATTCGTCGTAATAAAAAACTAATTAAGCAAATTCTGGCTGCATGGCATTTTATATACTATAATAGTACATACCTTATAAACTTCGTTCACACGCTGTGACCGTTGGGAAAATAAAGATACATATTTAAAAAATAGTACAATTTTATTTTGTTTAAATTATGTTCAGTTGTACCATTATAAAACACATTGGCTTAAAATATTAGGATCAGAACAATAGCAACTTACTTTTGGTTAAGTATTATATTCTTGTAAAACAATTGTATTTTAAACATTAATTGGCACAGGCACAAGCTTAGAGCTTTGGCATGATAAGTACCTATCCCTACAATTAATTTTTTTCTTTGGCTTAAGCTGTTTGGCAAGGAGGGAAGGATTAATATAGTTTTAATGCACCTATTTTTTGCGTACGTGCCAATTTGGTACTATTTATTTTAATTGATGTCGTGGGAAAACATATTTGATATGGTAGAAGGACTTAGTCCGTCCTAAATTAACAGTGAAACTAGCCTCTTTCTCGCCTCTGTAATTCTAAAAAAGGAAGCATTAGTTGTGAAAAATATGCTGTTAGAAAGTACTTAAATTTGTATTTAAGTACTTAAATTTGACTATATAGCTGATATTAGTGCGATTCACTTAGCACTAACTTTACGACCAACAAAGGTTGTTTAAAATATCTTATATATTTGTATACCAATTTACCTACGTAATATTTAGTAATTACATTAATTTTTTTTCTGTATGAGCGCGTTCGAAAACTGATGTAGCCATGTTTTCTATATATCCCCTCGTGCAGGTGAATGCCCCATCTATACATTCTACAAGCGTATAGCATTTTAAGGAGTTATACATAAATTATGCCGTTCAGTGGAGCATACAAAAATGTAATCCAACTGCTTAGCAACCGAATGGGTTTAACAGTCAAAATAAGAACATACAAGGTGACCCAAGAGAATGCACAAATTGAAATATCTCTTAAAAAAATAACATTTTTGACATTTTTTTTTACTAAATAATAAATTTAACTATACCTAGAATACAAATATTTTATGTTTTTAAATAGATAAAAGTAATAATACAATTTTAATGACAACTTTGTAGTTTTTTATAACAACTAAGTAATTTAATGCTTTTTGTATCTTTTTTTTTATTTTCATATCTTTTTACTCTTATATTGAAAATATTGAATATAAATATATCAGCCAATTATACATAATTATAATTTATACACATACGTCTATCGATATTATTTAGTAAAAATATATTTAATTAAATATAACTATGTTATGGATATATATTATATATGTGTATGTTATATACCTATACTTTTAAAATACCATTGCAATACAACTAAAAACTATGAAAATATATAGGTATTAGAAATGTATAAAAGATATTAACAAATGTGTATAGACACTATTGACAAATATTTGTCTTA